ACAAAAAAAAAAAAAAAAAAAAAAAAAACTTAGTTACAGACGCCTATCGAGATAATTTGAATGAAATACACGACAAAACCTCACTCGGAGGAGAATTGAAGTTGTTTTTCCTTCCAAAAACATGGACAAGTAGCAAACCATGATTGCATTCATATGCATATTTACTTTTAAGCAGCCCCATTATCAGTCGTCAAAAATAGTTTTGGAAGACGAAAGCAAGAAACAGCCCCTTTCATGAAAAAGACAATAAAACCATGAAAAGACAGGCTAAAACTCCACACTCCCTCTTAACTAAGTTGAAAGACTGCACAATGTTACAAACAGAACATCAAAAGCTTATTATAGGCTTAAGTCGGAAAGACTTTGTGAGATCCCACATCGATCGGGGAGGAGAACGAAACATTAAAGGTATGGAAAACTCACCCTAGTAGACGCATTTTAAAAACCTTGAAAGCTCGAAAGGGAAAGCTCAAAGAGGACAATGTCGGCTAGCAGTGGGCTTGAGCTACAAATGGTATTAGAACTAAGAACGAGTGCCAGTAAGGACGCTGGACTCAAAAATGGGGTGGATTGTGAGATCCCATATCGGTTGGGGAGGAGAACGAAACATTTTTTATAAGGGTGTGAAAACCTCTCCCTAGCATACGAGTTTTAAAAACCTTGAAGGAAAGTCCAAAGAGAAGAATATCGGCTAGTGGTGGGTTTGGGCTGTTATAGACTTCATATTTAAATCATCTAAGGCTCACCTCAACGTAATCAAGTTCTCCACCGGCTTCCCGTATTTCATCGACAACCAAGCTCTTTAAGCTTTTGCAATTAAGTTCACCTCTTTCTGCTGCTGATTTTGCTTTTGACAATGACCTGTTTATAGACAATGCCTATAAACGAAAGACGTAGACGTAAGTCAGTTTCTGAATCTAAGTAATCATTCTATCATGAACAACAAAGCCAATATGCTTTGCACATTGAAGACACTACTACACCATAATTTGAACAGAAGTAGATAGAACAATGAAGGAGAGAACCTTTTGTCTTTCTTCAAGTGAGAGCCCGACATTGCGCGAACTCATTGCAAGACCATCGACATCGCGCATGATTTCAGACCCCACAATGTTTATAGAAAAATCAAGATCTCGAACCTGGAAAAGAGTTGATGTGAGAATTATTACCACCAGAGGTAATAAACATATGCCTATCTCAATCAAATGATGATAAATGTGGTCAAACACCCAATAACTTGTGGAAATCTAGAACAAAAGATGATAGGGCAAGAAGTTAGAGCAACATATATCATCCAAGAGGCTTGTTGCCCAACCCAAACTTTAACCATCGAGATCAGAACTAAATGAACTTCGAGGGACAGGAATTTAAGTCATACCCTATTGGGAGGGAGTCCACGTAGCTAATTAAAGGAATGATCATGAATTTATAGGTAAGGAATACAACTATGAGAGCTTATACTCAAAATGGACAATATCATACCATTGTGGAGGTTCGTGGTTCCTAATATGCAAGATTTAGCATTCTTGAGAACTTAACTACCGGTTCATCTAACGGTATTGATCGAAGCAGCTTTTCGAATTTTGAATATAGTTCAGCAAACATGCAAGATTTAGTACCCTAAGACGAGGAATGCAAATTAAGTTTATAAATCTTAGAATTAAGCAATCAAATTCAGATGACAAACAATGAGTTTTGAGCTCTAAACAGATATCAAAATCAAAACCATTCACTCTCTTGCAGAGACTCACCATCCGCCTGATAATCCGCCATTGCTGATAATCCTTCTTCCCAAACACAGCAACATCAGGCTCCACAATATTGAACAACTTGGCAACAATGGTAGCAACTCCTCTGAAGAAAACAGGCCTTCTTACCCCACACATCCCCTTCTCCAAACGCTCGACTCTCACCCATGTCTCATGCCCTGATCCAGACTCCTCCAAGCAAGAAACCACCGCCGTTCCATTAGATACGACGCCATTTCCGCAACGAGCTGATTCTACTCCATAATCGTAGAGATTGTAAGGATGAAAAACCGCATCAACACCTCCAGGAACAGCCATGAGCTTCCGAATGTCGCCGTCGAAATCAGAAGGATAGGTCGAGAGATCCTCGGAAGGGGCGAATTGGCTAGGGTTAACGTAGATTGAGACCACGACGAGGTGTGTGTGCTTGTGAGCTTCTTCGATTAGGGAGAGATGGCCGTCGTGGAGGAATCCCATGGTGGGAACGAGGGCGATGGTTTTGCCCTGCGATCTCATGGCCCTCGTCCATGTCCGCATCTGGTTCTTGTCTGTAATGATCTTCAGATTCTCCTTCCCCGCCATCGGAGAATCGAACAGCAACTTCGCACCGAGTTCAGAAATCTTGAAAAAATTGTATTTGTACGATAATATAAATTTTATTTTATAAAATTCAATAAATTAATAATAATGTCCTTGAATATTTTGTGTAAAAATATATATATATATATATATATATATATATATATATAATACATTTTACATTTAAAAAAAATTCAGTAATATTCTTAAATAAATAATACCATTACCCTTAATTTTAGTGGACCGTTTAAAAATTATCCTTAATATATTTAAAAATATATTTTTGGTGCCCAAAAGGAACGTGCTATTCCAAGGGTGTGGAGAAAGGACAACAGGGTATTAATGTAAATTACCCTTGTTAGAAAGGACAACAGGGTGTGGAGAAAGGAACGTGCTATTCCAAGGGAATTACGTTACAAAGCTGCTCAGGGTGTCCGATTCTCAAGCTGTAAGTCTAGAACGTGTAGTCAAAAGTGAGTATATTGAGCAAATGATGTATTTTGTTTGAGGGTTCTAGAGAAGGAGTCAAGCCTCGATTAGGAGGGGTTGTTCGAGGGCTCCATAGGCCTCGAGAGAAGCTCTATGGTATACTTTGTTTGAGGGGAGGATTGTTGAGGATTGTTAAGAGAGAGTTTAGGGTTTGCCAAAAGGCACGTGCTATTCCACGGGTGCGGAGCAAGGGCAAGCAGGGTGCCTTGTTGCATATTTAAGTCGTCTGCAAATGATTCTACTCATCATTTAGTGGGAATTACGTGACAAAGCAGTTTGAGGGCGCCTGATTCTCAAGCTGGGCTCTTCCGAGTTCACTCGTTGTTACTAGGAGAATCCTTATAAGTTTATCTATAGAAACGTCGTCGTCTCAATTGTGGCTAGCAGTACGCATCTTTTGGCGTGCTCTTGGCATTGGTCTGTGAGCTCCACATTGGACCCGTCTCGAAATACGAATATTATTTTTTTTTTTTTGGGGACAAAAATCTAAGTAAAAATGAAATTTTGTGGGAGTAGAGGGCCATATAGGAAAAGAAAGAGAAATTATTCATCTAATACAAAAAAAAAAAAAAAAAAAAAAAAA